TACTATAAAGATTAATTATACCTAAGCTAGATCTTAGTTACTCTAACTAGCGCCTAGTTATAGAGAAGTAATTACTAATAATTAATGTAAGCATAAAGTAGATAAATTACTAAACTTTTCTACTAGACTAATCTATATAGCTAACTACTTACTAACTACTATAGCGCTAATCTCTCTAATTATAACTCTTATAGTTATTCTTATTAAAGGCTAGCTTACTATTCTAGCTATTCTTAAAGTTCTTAACCTAAGCTTATAGATAAGTAGTCTTAGTAGCTTAAGTCTATATATAAATCTTAAGCTATATCTAATTATACTTAGTACGTAGTAGCGCCTTAGCGTGCTTAGCCTTAGCTAGCTAATACTAAGTATAGTAATAGAACCTATTACTTATAACACTAGATATAGAGCTATTAGACTAGTAACTATATAGCTAGAGATTATAATAATAAGAATAATTATTGCGTAGCTAAGACTAATAATTATACTACTAAGACTAGTAGTTACGCTACTAAAACTAATAATAACTATACTAATTCTACTACTAATTCTATAGTAGCTAATTTCTAAATTAAGAAGCCTACGTCTAGAAAGTTAGTAGTAGTAGCTACTAGAATAAGCTCTAATAATAATAGCCTAAGTATTATAGTATTAGATTAAAGGCTATAAGTAGATAACTCTAAGTAGAAATTATAGGTAGAGCTATCTAGCTACTACCTATATTAATTCTTCTTATTCTCTTACTTAGTATTATAAACTTACTATAAGTACTACGTTAATTAGAGTTTTAGAGAGTTATAGGCATAGTACTTTTTAAGCTCTTCTTATCTAAGAACTTAGAAGTTCTATCTAATAATTTAGCTAAAGTCTTAGAACTACTCTTAGCTTCTTTCTTCTACTTCTTATAAGCGTAGAGATCTTAGTAGAGCTACTTATAATACTTAATAGCGTTCTTAGTACTCTAGCGCTATTATTAAGTTAGTAAAAGATTAAAAAAACTAAAGAAAAAAGAATTATAAACTTACTTTAGAACTATAGTAATTTACTAAGCTTATAAAGTAATTATATAGATCTTAATTAGTAGTATAGTAGTTATAAGAGTTATAGAATAAATAATACATAACTTAATAAAGTTACTTAAAATAATTAGCTTTCTAAATATTATTAAGAAGCTACTAATAAATACAACGCTTATACTTAGAAAATTAAGAAGTGTTATAGTTAGATAATACTTTAACTTACTTACGCTAATAACTAGTGTATATTAGATATAGATAATCTAGAAGAGTTTTAGGTATAGAAGTCTTACTCTTAGACTTCTTATAAAAGTAACTATAACTATAACTATTACTTAGAGATACTTACTTCTCTTAATTTTAAGCGCCTTAGTTCTTAATATAGTTAAATTACTAAAGGCCTAAATTTAAAGTCTAGAAAGTATTATTAGTAATAAAGATACTACTTTTAGAAATAAGCTTAATAGTCTCTTAGATATCTTAGTTATTAAGGTTATTAAACTAAGAAGCCTTATAATCTAAGTAGGTACGCTTAGTGTATAACTCTAATTACTTACAATTCTTATAGAGGTTATTATTACTAAAGCTACTAGTTGCTTTAAAGCTCTAATTTAGTTAATTATTAAGATTTATAAAGCTCTAAAATAGTTAAGTATTAGAAGCCTAATTATCTTAGGTAAAGCTACTAAAGAATAGACTATTAGCTACTATTATTCTAGAAGAGAAAGATAGAATTTAAGTAGTAGTGTTTTTAAGTTAAGTATAGTAAAGAAGTTAAGTACTTAACTATAGAGCGCTATTAAGTAGAGCGCTATTACGCTAAGTGCTATCTTACTAAGTACTAGCTTACGTATTATAATTACTACTACTAGAGGTATTATAATTAGAGCGTAGAACGCTATTATAGTAGAAGCTAAAGCGCTAGCGCTTATAGCTAGAGTTAGAGTTAGAAGTTAGATTATTAGACTAAATTATAATAGTTAGCTATTAATTTAGGTATAAAAGTAAGAACTTACTATAGTAATAGAGAAGATAGAGAAGTAATTAGAGTAGAGAAGTAAGTAAAGTAGTATCTTAAGTAGAGTAGAGAATTAAGCGTAGAGCTTAAGAGCGCTAAGGCTTAAGAGCTAAGAATCTTAAGTAGATAAGTTAATTAGATAAGTAGCTTATTAGCTTAAGCGTCTTAATAATATAGAAGTAGATAATTATAGTAAAGAAGAAAAAGATTAGAGAACTTATTATTATAAAGTCTTTAATTCTAGCCTAAGCGCGTACCTACGTAGAAAGCTAGCGTAGCTTATTAAGCTATTAATTATACTATAAATCTTACTTAGAAAAGATTAGAAGCCTAGATCTTACTATTAGAATTATCTCTTACTAGTTAAATACCTAGATTTCTATAGCTATTAGCTACATTCTAGGCTATTATAAGGTAATTTCTAAACTAATAGAGTTAATTCTTAGACTATTAGACTTTATTTAAATAAGCAAGAGCTTACTACTATTAGTATTAAGTATAATTAAACGCTTAGTTAGGCTGCAACCTACTACTACGCTCTAGATTCTTAAGCCTAGACTCTGCTAGAGTATACTAATTATAGTAGATTTAATAAGATTAGTTTTAGTAAAGTAGATTAATACTTTTACTACTCTAGAGAGTATATTAAAGTAGAAGAGTAGTTATAATTACTTAATTATAGATACGTAATTACTTAGCTCTTAGGTATATAGCTAGAGATTTAATTCTAACTTTCTTAAGTAGTAGATTAATTACAATATACTTAAATATCTCTAATTATTAATTATCTCTAGCTCTAATATTTTATTATTTTTATTATAAACTTTAGCTTAATACTAAGAATACTAGAATCTTATATAAGTACTATAGTAGTCTAACTCTACTTACTAATAATACTACTTTATAGCTAATATAGATTACTACTATACTTATACTTTATCTATAGTAAATTAGATATATTAAATAGTTTAGAAGTATATAAGTTCTAGCTAAAGATTTTTAGTAAAATAATTATTTAAAGTAATAGTTATTAATATTAATTAGTAAGTATCTAGAGCTAATTATATAGTAATAAAGTATAAGAGCTAATAAATAAACTACTAGTATTTAAAGTGCTAGTGTACTTATTACTATTATATAACCTACTACTAGTATTATTATATATAAATAAAATACTAATAAAGTTACTACTAGAGCTAGAATATTAACGTATAGAGTTATTAGTAAAGTTAGAAATTAATTTATTTAATAAAATTATAATACTTAGCTTTTCTTTTTAGTATAAAAGTAAGATAAACTTATAATAGTAATAAAAAAAATATAAAAGTTAGTAAAGTAAAGTAATAAGTAAAGTAAGTACTTAAGTATAAAGTTTAAAAGTATAAAAACTTAATAGTACTATATTTAAAGAATATAAAATTAATAATTAAGTAGCTTTTTAGAATTAAAAACTATAATTCTTATTATAATATAAAGAGAAAATACTTATAGTAAAGAAATAAAATATAAAAAGCTTATAATAATTAATTAAGTTTTTTAATTCTTTATTAAGCGTATATTAATATATATAGCTAGAATAGCTTATAAAGCTATTAATAGTACTTTAAACTTTACTTAAAAGAAGTTAAAAGTCTAAATTTTATTAGTAGAATAACTTTTTACTAGTAAAACTACTAAATTACTATAGCTATAAGCTATATACTAATTTTATATAAGAGAATTTCTTATTTAATTTACGTAGTTTTATAACTACTAAGAAATATTTTAATAAGTAAAAGTCTATTACTATTAGTATTAAGTATAATTTAATATTTAAATTAAAATAAAATTTTCTACTATATTATTTAAAATCTTTAGCTTAGACTTTACTAAAGTATACTAATTATAGTAGATTTAATAAAATAAGTTTTAGTATATTAGATTTATAATTTTAGAACTTTAGTAAGTATATTAAAGTTTTAAAATGTAGTTATATCTATCTAATTCTATAGATATAATAACTTAGCTTTTAATTATATAACTAAAGATTTTAATTATATATTTTTTAGTAAGTAATAAATTAATATATACTCTAATATATTTCTTTTTAATTATTTCTCTAGCTCTACTAATAGTAAATATTAGTAGAAAATTTTTATTACAACTTACTACTATATAATAGTAAATATAAAGAATTTTAAAAATATTCTTCTATTATAATTACTTTATAGAGTTACTAAGCTATATTTTTTATTTCTATTTTATATTAATATTCTACTAAACTAAAGCTATAATATCTTATAGCTTCTAGAAAGTAGTTATAAATCTTTATTAAATACTAAAGCTTTATTAGCTTTATAATTAATACTGTCTAGTACTTCTAGCTACTTATTAGTTAACTAGTATCTACTTATATAAGTACTTAATATAATCTTATACTCTATAGTATTTATAATATTTTAGTACTTTAATATTTATTACTATAACTTAAAGTAGTAACTTAATATAAGTATTCTATTATTCTACTACTATAATACTTTAATACTATAAAGTTTTAGTATAAAGCTAGTTTTTATAGCTAATAAAAGAGTATATTTAATTAGTTAAGCTAAGCTTTTATTCTTATTCTATCTATTCTAAGCTAAATATTCTACTTATAGACTACTAAACTATTTACTTTAAGAGTAAATTAAATAAAGAAAGCTAGAAAGAATAAGCTTTAGTAAAACACTAGATATAGGTAGAGAGAGCGTTGCAGGTAGCTGTAGAATCTCGCACGTGGGTGACACGAGTGGGGTTCGTCCGGTGTCGATCCAGACCGCACGCTAAATGCAGACGCTAAGTAGCTTAGAACCCCACTCTCCTGGTTCTGACCTATGTTCCTGCATATCACGATTCCCATATTACCGCAATCCGATCATGTCGAAAAAGGTAAGCTACGGATAGCAGATGCGCTGTCGCTGGAATTGACGCTAAGCCACACGCAGGGAAGCGACACGCCTTCTTCCATTCGGATCCGCGAGAATCAGCGGCGCTCGCGTAATCAGCGGAAAGAGCTCATCCAGGACCTGCAGCGACGCGTGCAGGAATATGAAGCCAAAGGCATCGCCGCTACCCAAGAGATGCAACGCGCAGCTCGCAAGGTTGCAGAGGAAAATGCACGTCTAAAGAGCTTGCTGGCCAGCCGTGGTGTGTCGCGCGAGGAGGTGGATGCGTATCTACGATCCTTTGATGCGCCAAGCGCCCCAAGTCCCTCAGCTGCCGCGCTGTATGCTCAACCGGCGATGCGACCTCAGGTCTCACTTACTCCCGCGCAAAGTCCTGTCGGATACGCGACGTATCCTGTCTCTCAGCCTGTTGTACGGTCTCCGGCGCAAGTTCCTGAGCCAGCCCCTGCACAGATCCCAATCCAACAGCGGCCGCACCAGCCAATTCAACATCATGCACAGTCCTTCCCAGACACCCACCATGTTCGTCAGTCAGTGGTAGGAGCCATTCAAGACGCAGCATGTATGCCCGAGAGAGCGAATGACACGACCAACTCGCCGTCTACTGCTGCGCATGAGCCTGTTGCCATGGTAGACCAGGAGGAGTCATCTTGCTGCAAACCACCCGAGACACAAAGAGCCGTCGATTCTCGGATAACAGAAAGCTCAATGACTGATCAAACCGTAGCCTCGTCCCGCAGCGTCGCAGACGATGATGATTGTCCTAACACTGCGAGTTGTTTTTGTCCACCCACATCTGCGCCTCAAGCGAAGTCGCTCGACAATGGTTTGCTGATATCATGCGATACCGCTGCCACCATTATATCAGAGATGCGTGGCGACGGTGATAGACATCGGATACGGGCGAGTCTGGGCTGTCAGGGAGACCAGGAGTGTAGTGTCAAGAATACGCTTGTTCTAGAGCTCATGGATGAGAGATAGCTTGAAACGATACCAAAAATCGTAGTCTTGGTCCTCCTCTTGTGTAACGTCTGCTCATACGCGCAAGCAACTTCCTTTTGAGGCTGACAAATGACGTCACGCCGCGTGGCAGCCCGTCTCAACATCGTTACCCCATAATTTTTCAACACTCGCAGCCTCGACAGCCTCCACTTACTGAAACTCTTCACAATGGCGCACAAGAATGTGAATGCGAAAGTGCTTTACTCCTATCCCGTCGCGTCATCAGGTGCTGACAGCCTTCCAAGTCTTCAAACGCCGAGCGGGTGCGCAACAATCAGCGTCGCAGTCGCGCCCGGCGCAAGGCATACATTGCCGAACTTGAAACGAAGCTCCGCGAATCTGAAAACGGATGTAGTCAAGACCCTACGACAGCAGAGCTCGCGAAAGCTACCCAGGAGGTTCAATCGCTCAAAAAGCTGTTGTATACGTTAGGGCTTGACGAAGCATTCCTCGAGGCTTTCTCGAGAGCCCAGCATCTCGCAGCACAGTTCTCAAGCTACCAAGAGAGCATCACACACATCGGCAGTACGCCTGAAACATCTTCTCAACATATGAATACTTCATTGATCAGCGAGGTAGGCTCACACATCGCAAATGTCACCATAATTTGACAAGGCTAGTTGGACACAAGCTCTATTGTCCCCTCCCAAAAGCAAGCACATGAGGTTTATTCACCATTCGGCGCGGAGATGGACATACGGAATGCGAATATGCAACTGAACCTAGTAGATTCGTATGCGATGGACGCGTCGCCCTCATGGGCATCGCAAGATATGCCTGCTGCCATGACTCCTCCAGCATGCGCCAATGGAGGTTTGAGTTTGTTGAGCCCACTTCAGGATAACGCGGCCGAGTTTTCGCCAGCATCGAATGGACTACCAGCGCAACTTTCAGTTTCGACAACGCTTTGTACAACCGCTTTCTCCCTCGTGCTTGCACAAAACCCCGACGGCCACAGCTCAGAATATCTGGACAAGAAGCTAAGGGCGGGCTACCGATTCAGCACGTCTCCGTTGGAAGGTTGTCGCATACAAAATCATGTCTTGTTGGAGGTTCTTGCAGAGATTGCATGAGCGTTGATCTAAGCATGCATGCTATCGGTCGAGGGCATTTTGGCGACGTTTCACCCTCCGTAGCTGAAATATGAATCCACTAGCCACTACATATGAAAGACCTGCAAAGATCTGAGTATAAAGATACTCACGCGAAGATGAAGGCCGTCTGAGCTTGAGTGCGATTCCCTCGGAAACTGCTTCAGTTAGTTAAGGCTCCTCTCGACCTCAAGAACGGGGCGCATACCTGTTGCTGGGATGATGACTGCCGCCCAGGATAAAGAAAGTAACGACTGCAGGTTCTTGATGCCTGCGACTTCGACGCAGAGCGGGCCAATGGTCTGGTTGGGTAAGTGGTCAGTGGAGCTGTCTGGAGTACTTCTCGGTTACGAAGTTGACTTACCATCCAGAATACACCAACGATCGCGCCGCAGAGAATGGCAAAGAATACCGTTAGTGCGTAGGATGTAGCAGGCAGCCAAAACGCAAAACATGAAAGACCGCACAGCAAGGTCAACGCTCCTGCCGTATCTATCCTGCTCCATCGATCACTCAGGATACCGATGATTGGACGCCCGATCGCTGTCCCGACGTTCAAGAGGCCGATTATATCTGTAGCTTGGGATCGCGAGAGGCCTATCGATAGTGCAAAATCGGAGAGTGAAAAGAGGAGGACGATGTATCCCAGCATGCTGATGAAGACCCATGCAAGCAGCAATACCACTTCGTAGCGCCGCAGAAGTTTGGTATCGAAGCCTAGTTGGGATGGCCGAATGGCCTTGTTCCTGTCGCGTATGAAGACTGTCGCAGTAAGATTGGCCACGAAAGCGATGATGCCCGTGATACGCAACGCCCAACCAATGCTGTATCTTCGAATAATGGCCTCGGTACCCCAAGTGAAAGCTGCGCCGCCGACCCCAGACCCTGCTGCACTGATGCCGTTGGCCAGGCTTCGTTTCCGATCAAACCATTGCGATAGAACTGGAAGGCATGGAATGTACAAGAATCCAATCCCGCAGCCGATCAATACACCCTGCGAGAGGTGGAGCTGCCAAACCCGAGTTGCGAATGAGGCAGCGATGAAGCCGCCGAGCTGTAAGATCAGGCCGCAGCACATGACAACATGGGTTCCAGATCTGCGACAGAAGACAGTTACGAAAGGTGCCACGAGCATAGCAATGGCAAAGTTGAAGCCACCGATGAATGCATAATCCCAGGTTGAGGCTTCGGGGAAGATGTCGTCCGCTAGGTAGTGCGATAGATAGATGCCATAGGCCTGAAGGTTGTCAGTATGATGCACGGTGGAGAGAAAGTCTCTTCCAATAAGCGACCTTGACTCACTGATACGGTACCCCATGTGAAGCAGTTTATCGTAAAGCGCGCTGCTACACAAACCCAGCCGTAGCCGCCATCGGGGGGCGTATGCTCTGCATTGGTAGTGTGCTCTCCTACGATTACCTCATCGAGCGTCAGTGGCGGTGACACCTCGCTGTGCTGTCGGGGAATGCTGTCTTGTTTCGTCATCTTTGCGGCATGCATTCAGAAGCATGGTACCTTCTGCTCCAGCCGGCGCCACTATATATGCGCGTAGGAGATATGTCACTTGCATTTGCGGGGTGTCACCACTCACGGATGATCGACAGCACTAGTCCAGAACCGGTCGAGGGCTGTTGATACATTCAGAACCTGCGCTTTACTACCACACTGTATGCCAGACTCCTACTTTTTTGAGACAATGCTGTTCTTGCATTCAAATGAGGTTCGGATCAATTCGAAGGCCCCGCGTTGGTGGACAAAGCCGCATGCTGCGTGTCTGGGGCAGGCTTATTAGCTTCCTTTGCTTGTTTCGCCCGCTTCTCTTCCCTCTCACTGAACCTGTCGCCGAAGAGATCGAAATGAGGGCGCATCACAATGGTGTATTTGACGAACTCCTCCATGCAGTCGACAAGTCGGTCTCTATTACCGCTGGGCATTAGCCTGCTGCCAGCGTCCTCCTCGGTGAACTGCTTGTATGCCATGGGTATGGAGCTTTGGTTCGGTATGACGAACATGCGCATCCATCGACCGAGTATTCGCAGGGCATTGACTGTATTGAAGGACTGTGATCCGCCGTTTACTTGTGCGATTCCGAGGGTGCGGCCCTGGGTCGGACGAACAGAGCCGGTGGACAGTGGTATCCAGTCGATCTGGTTCTTGAACACGGCCGTCTATAAGAGGACAGCCATTAGCATGACGTTCAGAAAGCATACTGAGTTTTAGGGCACCAGCTTACGAGAGTCCCATGCTGCTCAGGACATATCCATATATGCCCATCGCTCCATTTACTCAGTTCGCGTAACTCTTGCACTTTGGGGTGTGTGTGTTGTACATCGTCCTTGACTGGTAGGCCAGTGGGGTCGTACATGCGAACGTCGCAGCCAAGGCGGAAAAGTATTCGGCTCGCCTCGTACGATAGCAAGCGCGAGTAAGATCTGCCTGGAGTCAGTATATGCCATTGAACGCACCCATGGGGGCACTTGGCTGGAAGTAGTCTGTACCTTGATCGCATGCTTCCGTGCAAGACCACCACCCTGAGCCTGTCGTCTCCACGGTGGAGCAACTGTGTATCGACCATCTTCAGTGCAGTGCTGAGTTCTAATTCAGCCACCCAATCGTCCTCATCATCTTTCCCCTCAAGTATGAATGGCCGGTAAGCCTTTCGAACTTCCACATCGTCTTCAGAAGGTGGTATCGCCAATGAGCGACCTTGATACGCGGGATCAATGTCGAGTTCAGTTCGTGCACGTTCGGCCGAGGTATTGTTCAGATCTCCGTTCGGTATCGTCGCCATTGTACGTGCGAATTGGAAGGAGGTGCGCAGAGGTCTGGAGGTGATGGTGCTGCGAACACCGATACTGAGGATTGAGCGGTAGATTTTCATGAGCTAGCGCATGTGGATGCGTACGAAGTGCGTCGAGATGTGAAAGTGAAATCGCATCGAGCTGCTCGCAAACTGGCAATACGTTCTTGCAAAGGTAACTTCGGAATACCGTTTATAGACGCGCAGGTAGCGGCGACACGAGAGTGCCTGGGAAAACACGTCATGGTTAACCAGCATGTCACTCCACATGTCCGATTCGTCGAGACTTCACGGACCCTGCGTCCCAACCCCGGAGCCTCACTTGGAATGCGATGGCTTCCAAATACTGTCCAAACTCCATGCCTGATGCACCTTAGCAACTGCATGGTGCAGGTCCGCACCGCTTGCTCCCATCAGCGACCATGCACTCCACTTAGTCGTCAGGAGTTGTAGTATGTCAGTTATGTGGTGTCAATGGATGAGAATTGACATGCATTGCATATAGACTGTGATGGAGTTGAACACTATGCCCATAGAACATGGAGGAGACGGTGTTGGTGTGCTTACACCTGGTGGGAAGTGCTGTAGTGGGGATAACGGTCGAGCACGTGGAGGGGTAGCCGGAATGCTTGGCGACGTTTTCGCTCCTAGACCCCTGCAAACGTCGTCATGTTGAAAGTCGTGACTGGGCGCCTCACCAACCTTGTAACCCACCACAACTGAGCAGCAACATGGAGTACGACACTTTCTCAGCACGTGAGTAAATGCGCGCCTATACAAGCTGTTCCATGACTAATCAGCACCAGCGCAGTACAGCACCAACGACGCGACGTCGTTTGCCCACACTTCGGCGCGCTCGCGATGGCCCATCATCATCACCCAAGGCATTGACGACGTGCACCGCTCTCTGCACGACACCAAAGACGAGACGGCCATCACAGAAGGCAAACAGGTCGTCGCAGAACTCGCCAAGCTGAAGTACGAGCTGCAGCACGACCGCGAGCTCACTCCGATTTCCGATGATGGCGAGCGCGATGTCGAGGCATACAACAAGGAATTGGCAGCAAGAGGCAACCCCAAATGGCACAACGTGTCTTGGCTGTATGCCGAGTGCTATCTGTACAGGTATGTAGGCCTGAGTCGCTCAATGGTGCGTGCTAATGGCCATAGGCAGACGCATCGCAAGCATCTTTAAGCAGACCACCAAATGGCGCTCGTACGACATCTTCGCTCGCCAGAAGATGGAAACCTTCAAATCCTCTCGCCCCGCCGTCATCGAACTCGCCGCACGCTACAAAGACATTGTCACCGAGCTCGAACAGAAGAAGACAATCAAGGGTGCAGAGTCGCAGGAGCAGCTCGAGGCTGCAGAGAAGGTCCTGTTCACCGAGATGTGCGAGATCTGTCTCTGGGGCAATGCGACGGATCTGTCCTTGTTGACCAACCTGTCATACGAGGACATCCAGAAGTTGCAGGGCTCTGAGGCGCGCAAGAACTCCGAGAAGAACATTCTGGTCAACGACCTAGACAAGGCGTTCGAGGTTCTCACGCGGGCTCAGAAGAAGGGCAAGAAGGAACGTCGCGTTGACATTGTGCTTGACAATGCTGGCTTCGAGCTCTTCGTCGACCTGATTCTCGCTGGATATCTCATCGCATCCGGTCTGGCGACAAACGTGGTGTTCCACCCCAAGAACATTCCATGGTTCGTTTCAGACGTTCTGCCAGCCGATTTCGGTGCACTCCTCATGGCACTAGCCGACTCACAGAGCTTCTACAGCGCGCTATCGGAAGACGAGAAGCACGCTGGCAAGCAGTCCGTACCGCTGTCTGAGACAGAGAGCGCGAATCTGCAATTCCTCTTCCAGCATTGGAGTGGTCTCCACGCAGAAGGCCAATTGATGATGCGACCAAACGACTTCTGGACTGCAGGCGGCAGCTACTGGCGACTTCCCAAGAGCGAGCCGGACTTGTACGAGGATCTCAAGGAGAGCGAACTCGTCATCTTCAAGGGCGATCTCAACTATCGCAAGTTGACCGCTGATGTAAGTGCCCTCTTCTACATTCGTCCCTCGCATTACTGACCATCACTAGGCTGCTTGGTCTCCTACCACACCATTCACCGAAGCCATTGGTCCAATGGGCCCTGGCTCAGGTCTACGAGTCCTCGCGCTCCGCACGTGCA